GGTTTCTCTGATCGCAGGATTTTTTTGGTGCCTCTTTCTGTTTCATGAGGGAGGTTTTTGATTCTGTGGATCTTATTAGATTATGTCTAGTGTATAGCTGGCCTGTGAATTTCCTGTGGTGACACTTTGGTCACTGTCAGGAGGTTTGGGGGTGTGGCTAATGGATAGTCGAATNGTATAACATTGCTTGCCCGGCCTATGACAGCCGGGCCCACATCTTACAGACTTCGTGATTGCTTTCTGTTTCATGTCTGCCCATCAATAAATGACTTTATAATCATACCCGCAAGACTTGTCTTTTAAACACCCTTTTCGCCGTGTTTCTGACTATCTTTGCCGCGACAACGTGAAAAAAAGGATTTAAAAGCATGATGTGATAACTTTAAAAATGCTTTAACCTGCCAAGTTCTGTGCCTTTTTGTTCAGCCTGCAGCACACTAAATATTGCAAATCTAAATATTTTTCCTGCACTTTCTGTCTCTCCATCACCTCCAAACATTCAGTTTTGGCATCTTCATTTTTTTCCTGTAGATTTTTCACTTCTTTACATAAAACAAGACTGGACAGGATGAGACTGGAGTTCAGGTTTTATACCAAACTACTGTGTTGCCTACCACTGTGTTGCACATCAGAAAGAATGACATTTAAAAAAATGTGTTGTACAAAGTCATAACTCCAGTTTTATTCGGCATATCAGAGTAATTTAAAAACTGAGGTAAAATTTTTGTGCTCTCCTTCTTACTACAATTGAAGCAGTTAGATAAATGTATTTTCCCGGTTAGAATGATCTAGATGGGTCATGAAACCAGGATACAGTAGTGTATGCAGGGACTCCAGAAATCATAAAGAAGAGAAATGAAATTTAACCGTTGTAAGACAGAGTACATGTGTCTGACTGGGAGGGGCAGGTGGAACAGAGAGTTACAAGAAGCATGAAGCACAAAGTAATAGGACCTTAAGTACTTAGGTTCAACTATTCATGTAAATGTATAGTTAATAAAAGATAGGCACCTAGTAAAGTCATGCTACAAGTAGTCTGTCCAAGAAAATTGGAAGTGTGATAAAAAGGTGCAGAAAAAGTCCCAGGAAGATGAACAACTAGGAGGTAACGTTAGAATGGCCAGATTAAGATGGTTTGGACATGTCCAGAGGAGGCACAGTTCATATAATGATTTGTGAAATTTAGCAATGGAGCTCCAAGTAAAAAGACAAAACAGAAGGCAATAGAGGACATTTGGATATGGAGTGACATTTTTCTGAGACCTAAATATATTTAAGATATTAGGGTATCAAGTACACCTTATGTAAACTCTTCATGTTACAAATCTGTAATGCATTCGTCAAAAACGTGCTCAGGACGACAGGGGCCAAGGAGGACATGTATACACGATTATGAATATAACCCACTTTCTGTCAAAATGATGGATGACCCAAAGGTCATGGGTCAAGCTGTTACCTCCAGGGTCAAGGTGTGACCTGTGGGGTCATGGGAAATCCCCCCTCTTTCTCCCCCCTCCCTTTACCCACCTTTAATTTTAACAGGTCTGTGACCTCTGAGGTCATGAGAAAAGTTCTCTAATAATAGAAGCAAAAGGAATAGAAAGTATCTTTTGATGTTGTCCAAAGAGAATGGAATGAATGAATTGAACTAAAAGCTCTTTTATGCATTTTAAAAACAATAAACCTATCCTAATCTAACAATCACACGGTAAATGGTCTCACTTGCATCCTCCTCTCTCTTTCTCTCTGCCTCTTTGACTCCACAGAAGTTGACCTGGTCCATTCAACCCCACCACATACACACACAGACACACACACACACACACACACACACACACACAC